AACACAAACCAAAGAAATGAACATGTGAGTACCAAAACATTTGCAACTGCAATAATTTTCTGAGAGAAGGGGTTGCATTTTCTGACAGAATTGCAAGGGTGCCAATATTTTTGGCCATGACTGTAGGATTGCAGCCTTATTTCAGCTTTGCTGCTTCCAATTCAATCATAATTCCAACAACACTGTGGAAGGAACATGTAATAAGCATACAGTAGATACAACAGCAACCGTTTTATGTTGATAATACATTATTTCAGCTGTGCAAGAAATATGGGAAGGTGTAAATCCCTATATTCTTACAGAACTGCAGGAAAATAATGTGAGAAGTAGAATAATTAAAGATAAGTAATGAATAAAATGGACCAGCACACATCCTGGACTATTTCTAATGCAACAATTCATATCACTTTTGCTTTGATACATGATCATGACAAATAGCCACTTTCAGAGTACTTACATTATCTTCTGACAATTTATCAATTGTCACCTTGGCTTCTATCAAATGGTTATTCAGGGCTATTATTTCGTGGCTTAAAGCTCTTTTTTCTTCTTCATAATGTTGACCCTGTGTACAAAAAAAAAAAATAAAAAAAATTCAATGAATGATTTTCTCCTTTAGAAAAAAAACAAACTGCTGAATGTTGCTCCCTAAGGTAAAGAGAAAAATGGGTGAAATGCCACTTCTTCCCTTCTTAATATTTCTTTTCCTCTTGAATGTCCACCTTCTTGCTACACAGCAGATAATACAGAATGGAAAGTCACAGTTCAAAAATACAAAAACTTGGCTTCAGACATTATGTTGGTTCAATCTGATTCCAATATCAAAGATGTGAAATTAGTCTATAGTACAGGTACAGAACCTTCAGGTACAGCACATAAATGACAAGCTGAATTCAGGCCTTTCATCTGAAAAGTAGTGTTATATTTCTATTGACAGTTTAACTACTGTGAAGGAAGGATGAGTGATTTCAAAGCTGCTAAGACTCCTTCATTCATCTTCTCACTGTTCTTAATCTCCTGCCACCTTGTGTATCCTCATACAGCCACCCTCACTAATCTATTCTCCTGGAAAAGGTGGAACAGGGAGAGACTATTTCAGGCTTAAAACAGGTCCACACTCACATAACCTTGCTCCTTGGAAATTTCAGGTAGCATGACTGGCTATTTTCAGCCTTTTTTGCTACTGATGATGGGGCAGTCTATGAGGACCCTGAGCTGCCCCTTGGCCAATGGGTGCACAATTCACATCTTGTTATAGAGGAGCTCCTAATTATATCTCTATAACCTGAACAAAAAGGAAGCATCACATGAGTGTTAGCACACGAAATTAATAGTGGAGTCTGTTCATTCCAAACATGCCCCCTGCCCCGCCGACTCAAAGCATCTTGGGTACATCATCCAGAAACATCTCACATTTCTGTATTAAAGGCATCAAGAATTCTGAAGTGGAATATCAGTTTTTGAAACACAGTGGTGCCTCGCTTAATGAGTGCCCTGCATTATGACGAATCCGCTTTACGACGATCTTTTTGCAATTGCAATTGTGATCGCAAAACGATGGTCTAAATGGGGGAATTTTGCTTTGCGATGATTGGTTCCTTGCTTCGGGAACCGATTCTTCGCAAAACAAGCCGCCTAGAGTGGTCCGCGGGCCAGATAGGCGGGATATAAATCAAATAAATAAATAAATAAACAAAA